AGACAGACACAGTTTTTTTTTTAGCATTTAATATGTACATGCACTGGCTTGGCTGTTTAGCTTTTGTCATTTTAAAAGTGACATTCTGTCCAATAGCTAAAATGTAGATATATTGCAAAAAAATGCATGCTTATTGCTGATTTAAAGCAGTGACTTAAAACTTAGTGAGGATTGTTTACTGCACCTTTTGTTAGTTTTAATAAAGACCATAATCTCATTTCAGAAAACCTCATTTGAACCTTTATCAAAGGATACATACTGCGCTTTTGTGTTTTGCACAAACAATGGCCAAGTGAAGAGACGGAAATGTGAGAAGGGTCACTTTTTGTGAACAAATTACTGATTTCAATACAGTACTCTCTGATTGGTTGAGTCCATCCGTCTATTATGTTTGACAACACAGAACACTGATTAAAGATGCATACTGCTATGTTAACTTCCCATGCTAGCAAGCTAGGAGCTGGTTGGTTAGCTGCCATTTGCTCGCCACTTGTGATCAAAGAGTAGTTTTAGGTGTGCGTGTGTGTGTGTGTGTGTGTCTGTGTGTGTGTGTGTGTGTGTGTGTGTGTATGTGTGTGTGTGTGTGTGTGTGTGTGTGTGTGTGTGTGTGTGTGTGTGTGTGTGTGTGTGTGTGTGTTTTATTTTGGTGTCACTTTTCTGAAAGAATCCAAGAGAAGAGCAGCTTTTCATGAACACAGGACATTGGAGTCCATGTCAAGAAGGAGCATTGAGCGAAAGTGTAGACTAACTAAACTACTTATGCCGCTACAATATGTCACTTGTGATCAAAAGGCTAAGTGTTATTTTTGTATGTTTTAAACATTGTAAACAGAATTTCACTTCCAATTTGTCACTTGTGAGTGTGTAAAAGAAGTCGGGAGAAGATTATAATGGTGTTACGAGTGTGAAGGGAGGCTTTCATGACACACTGGAGAGATTAGCGTCCATTACCGAAGCCGGTGCCACTTCCACCTACAACAGTTATGACAGCTCTCAATTCAAAACACAGGAGACCACATGCTTTTAACCTGCATCGTCGGTGGGGAGCAGCATAGGGGCCGACTTTAAGATGGGTGTGGGAATCAATTATCCCACTCCAGAGACACGCAGGGCCAGTGGGTATTGCGGTGGGATTAGTGTCCATTCTTGTCATGTACTGACAACCCCTCCTGCTGATCCCCTTCGAAGAAGCAGGTATTATTAAGCAGCCTCCTCACTGGGGGCCCATAGGCCTTGAATCCCTATATGGGAGTGAGTGACAAGCTAATAATGTTGGATGGAAAATGGGGGTGGTAATGCATTCTTTTGCCTCCAAGTGCTCACCTGTGTGAAATCTCCAATGATCTCAAAGTGAAATCATGCACACAAAACGCACACACACACACACACACACACACACACACACACACACACACACACACACACACACACACACACACACACACGCACACACACACACACACACACAAACTTTCCATCTTTTGTTACCTTATCATCTTGGTTACTATATCAACTGGCCCATGAAAGTATGGATGGGAGACATTTTTAATAGGAAAACAGTGTGCAAGAAACCACTCAGGACTACATTTATCTTTATAAACTTTTTACAAACTTTAAACAACATTTAGGAAACAAATTAGTCTTTTTCCATTGAAGGGGAAGCTGGTAATTTTCCCTAATGTCACTTTTTGTCATTAAGACTTGACAGCACAGTAAAACAGGTAAACTCTGCTGTCTCTGATTACATCATTGTCTATCAAATCACAAGCACAAGATACTATCAGAGATGGCAATTTTCTTCTGTTTCATATTTCTGTTTAAAAAAAAAAAAAAAAAAAAAATCCATTACCCCCCTCGCCCAAAAATATGCGATTAACTCAAACTAAATGATGATCGAAAAGTGACTGTTCCCTGCTCAGCTTGATGCCAAAACTTAGTAGGTTGAGCACAGGCCAGGTGTGCCTCTGGATCGCTCCCAAATTGGCATACAACCCACCCCGTGTTTACGTGCCACCACTCAAGGTGAGCGTGTGTGTGCACAAAAGATGTCAGGTGGTAGCTGAGCTGCTGAAAGCTGTTTACACAGGCCATGAGGGAGGCCTGTCCCCTGCATAAAGCCGGCAAACGGAGATGTTATCTATGAAGCAGCGCCTGTGGCAAAAACAAATTGTGCAATTACACATTCTTTAATCGCTGCTACCTCGACTGACCACGTCAGTGTGACAGCTGAAACACGCATCGCATTCAAAGGCAACTCATCCAGCTTTCATAATAATGGAGCGCTCTGCAAACACACATTCGTTCCTTCCGGGGACTTGTGTGGAAGATTCCTTCCACACAAAATATGCTCACAAATAAATAAATAAATACATAAATAAATCAAAATTCTGCTAAATAAATATAACGTACAAAATGAACTAATACAAAAGTTATGCTGAATGATATCAAACATAAAGAAATGGAATTAAAAATAAAATTGCAAGCATAAAATACCTCAAATCTTTCAAAATAATTAGCCCAAATTCTTCTGATTAAATGCTGATATAATCTTACTTCCTCATGAATCTGTAAATGAGATAGTTGCTTAAACAAACCTAGTCATGTTTCATCTACTCAGAAATTCCAAGTAAATTTTACAAGGAGAGTTTTTGAGTAAATGTTACTTAATTAATTAATGAATGTATTTATTATTATTTTTTTAAAAAAAAGGTCACTGAAGGGTTGAGGAATGCACCAACAACCTTCAGGTTGGGAGACAGCCACTCTACCTGCTGTGTGTTAGTTAAAAAAAAAAAAAAAAAAACTGCAAAATTCCACACGTTTTTTTTAAACATGTTTTATACTTGAAAATTCCTATCTGTTATCAATAAATATTCAGTCTGTAATTCATATCTTTGTTTTTGGAAGCGTTACACTACCCCCCCCACCCCCCCAAAGTGATTTTATTCATCAAATAATTGGCCCAAAAAATTAATTATCATCTTTTTTGCCAAATTTTGGAATCAGCCTAAACTAATTCATATTGTTGGGCCCACTTAGAAAAGAAGAAAATGTGGGACATCACACTGCACTAATCACAATTTTCTTTGTTACCTTACATCACAAGGCAATTTTTTTCTTTAATTGTACAGCATTAGCTGCTTAACATATCTAGACCGACATTAGATTGCTTTTAGCATGCCCAATAAACAGAAAGTAAAGAATGTCAAATTCCATTTGTGGAACTGCATGTGGTCACCCCCGCGTTTACAAGTCATTCAACTTGCTATCGTGTGAGTTGCACGATTCACGCCTCAGCAGTTTTCCGCGTCATTCTGTTAATCCTCCAATTGAAAGCGGTACCAAGAGGACTAAATATTTTTCATGAGCAGGCCTGCCAGAGTGTTCAGGTTACTTGCTGAGATGATTGATCGCTCACCGGCAGATCTCAATGGCTGTCAATGTGACAAGTGATTACCCGGGTTTCGTTTCGGAGTGCTTGTGAAATGGCCCACGGTCGTGAAGTTGCCGACAAATTTGTGAACTACGCGTGAACCCGCACGTGTGCGGGCTTCTCAGCGAGAGCTGGGGTTTCGTTGAGGCAAGACCGGACTGATATTTAACATGGCTGCCAATCTTTAACCCAAATCCGACTCTACACCAAGTCCCGTCTGTCTTTTTCAATCGTGACATCGTCTTGGCCATGTTAGACTAATTTGACATGAATAATGAGCCGCATCCATGTTGCGTACACCAGTGCAGGAAACAATCAGGTCCACAACATTGAAAGGGAACTTATGGAAAACTGACTTTTTAAGTGCTTGTCTACAAATAGTTGGCAAGCAAGCCCTTCTGCACTTCTGCAGTACTGTTGCATAACACTGGGGCTAATTTCCATTTTAAAAAATTGACCCAACAAAACAAGTTTCTTCTGACATGATCATTTAGGGTGGGTGAAGATAAAGAGCCACTTTCAAGAGACTACTTGAAAGTGGCTGAAACACTATCATGCGGAAGCACTACAATGCAGAGACACACCATTTTTTTTTTCTCTGTCATCATGACAAAACCAAAAGGTAAGCAGAGCCGCATTAGGATTTGGTGGACGCACAGTTTAACGTTAGCTTCTTAAAACCAGCGCGTACATGATTGCTTGTTCAAGTTTTGACATGTTGGGAAGCTGCATTTGGTAATTCTCAACTAAACTCAGCAAATAATAGACTCTATAGGGAACCAGGGAAGGGATCCCAGAGTCGAAGTTATGACCTCCCTCTTACAAGTACCAGTCAAGAGGTGAGCAGCACCATTTTTTTCCTGTTAAATAAATATGAAAATTCTTAATAAAAGAAAACTAACTGAAATGAAATCATACATTTAACAATAAAAAAACAAATGAACATGAAAATCCTTTTAAAAAGAAAAAACTAAAAATCTTTATAGCAATAATGATGCTTCATTTTCATCTCTGTCAATTATGCATGAGCTTTCAGGGTTCATTTTAAATGCATTAATTTTTTTGGATGACTTTACATCCATTCAAAAAAAAGGAGTACTTAACTTTTTTTAAAATTTCACTAAACAGAGTGACCTTTTTTTTTCATCTTGCTCTCGAAAAATTCCCCATATGTTAAAAAATACTAAGTAAAACAAAAACTAATATTAAAATTAATTAACGCATATATTAAAACAAAGCTAAAAATAAAACCTAATAAAACCCGATAAACTTCAAAAGTCTAAATAAAATAAAAGCTATCCTAAAAAAATCCGAAAGTATTCTAACCCAGTCTCTCTCAATTTCTCTCTCTCTCTCTCTCTCTCTCTCTCTCTCTCTCTCTCTCTCTCTCCCCCCCCCCCCCTCCCCCTCTCCCTCGGAAAAGGGACGAAGCTGCAGAGATGCTGATGGTTTGGTCGGTGCGGCGATGTGCTCGGACCGTGGCCCCACTGCGTCTCTCCGTGGCTCGGCTCCCCCCCCCCCCCCTTCCCCCCCCCCCCCTCTCTCTCTCCTGTCCTGGCTGGATGGGAGGAGCACTTCATGTGCTCTTCGTATAAGAAGTGTGCCGTGTCCAGCTCAGAGCTTCACACAGCTACTCAGGAGAAACGAAATGATCTACCCTGGCGCCGCAGCAAAATGCTGGATGGACACCTACTCCTGGGATGGTTATCGTTCACACTGGTAGTCCTTGTCTTCTACTTGCCACCGCCCAGCACAGCCTATTTCGGGTGAGTGAAGCTGTTGTCACCTTGACTGTTGTTAATTAGTTGGAGTGGCATCAATGCAGGGCAAGATTTTGAATTATTACATTTGGCTTGCCACTGCCATTTGAAAGTAATGGCAATGTAACTGTCACTGAATTGGTAAGCGTGCCTTAGTTTCACCAAAACAAAACCCAACTTACACACCGACAGAATTTTAAAAAGACAAAAAAGCCTTCAAATATTTGTTATTGATAAATTGTTTGGTTTCTATGCTAAAATATATATTTTACATTAATAAAAAAAACTTCCTCAACTTTCATTCTGTCTGTCTTCAGCTCGTCTGGCCCTAAATGAATAAAAAATCGATTTAACAAATATAAATAACCTCCGACTGAATACATACCCAGGAATAGCTTTAAATGGAAACCCAAGTCGCAGCACCAGGAGTAATGCATGCCGACATGAGTGAATTGGTTAATTTGTCGCAAAAAGTTAAAAGAAGAGACAGAGTCTTGTCATCGCAAGGTTAAAATGCACATTATAACTGTGATCGCGATGCATTTAATATTACTGAAATGGTAGTAATAATGCCCTCAAATACTGCTTTACAGCAATAATTAAATCACTACTGCTATGATCGTATTAATTTTTCAACACCGCTGTTGTGAGTGTTGCACAGTGAGTATGACAACACGGTATCATTCATTGGACAGAGTTTGTGAAAAGTCATCTAAGTATGTTTGAGTGGTGGGTGGGATGATTTTTGCTCGTAAAAACAAAACAGAGTGTATCCACAGTTGAATCCAAAAGGTGAGTGTCCATAGCTTTATACCCGCCTCAAAAGCAACAGCTGGTAACAATAAAGCCATCTGACTGACTGCACTGGACTGGTGGTGGCCCAAATGTCTGCTGTTGGGCTTGCATAAAAAAAAAAAAGAGAGAAAGCCCCCCACCCCGCCACACCTCCCGCCAATCCAGCATAAACATCACACACCTCAGGCAGCAGGAACTTTTTTTCTTTCTCAGCCATCGCTCATATGAATGAAAAATAACACTTAGGGAACATTCATGTCAATGTTTCATGAGAGTGGAGGGCAAAGGTGCGTGTCCGAGCACGTGGAAAGTAGGCTGTAAGGACTGTGACCCACCATGACCTCTGATTTAGCACTTGCGTGAACCTAAAGCTGTCAAAAATGTAGATTGCTGTACCTTAAAGAGTGCAATGACTTGTCACTGGATAGACTGTGATTCTACCATTGACTTTTATAACTCTGGAATACAACTATTACCTTTTTGGTCTTGGTGGAGGTACACAGTAATGATGGAGACCAATAATAGGCAGTGAAGATTGTACAGAAACGGTTGTCACTTAAATTATATTGAGAATTGATATTTTACTTCAATGTAAAAATAACATTTAAAACCTTACATAAGTCAAAGAGACATTTCGATTGAACTATGAGCCGCATCCTAATGGTTTCAGAACCATATACAAGCAGCTCTGGTTTGGTGTGATCAGAAATGGGTAAAAAAAAAAATCTGGCTCCAAGCTACACCTGGGTAGGCAAACTACGGTCCACAAGAGCAATTTATCTGGCCCGTTGTGAGGCTCTGAAAGAAAAAAAAAAATCATAGATCTGCTAGAAAAAGAACCCATTAAATTGAATCTACATTATATTGACTGATCATATTGTTTTATAAACGTAATATGTCCCATGGTGGACTTGAAAAGATTCCCCACCCCTGATCTACATTAGTGTATAGGAATAGGACGAAGCTCTAAGTGTCCATTGTTACTTTCCCCTTGGGTAAAAAGTTCGATGTATATTCCAAGTCATAAAAGTCACCATTTGAAAATCAGCACCTTCAGGGCTGCAACCCAAAATTCCATTTTCCAAGGGGCTAGTTAGACCTGTTGATTCGGGCGTTTGCCATCTACTGATGTGCTTTATGAGGCGACATATTGAGCATTTTTTTTCTCACAATTGAAAACACTTACCAATGTCTTAATAACAATTATATGATACACTTGTCAAAATACCCCAAAGGTCAAGTATTAAAGTACCGGTACACTTTGTTCACCCTATTTGTTATCTTGCAGAAATTAGCTAGTTTGAGCGGCCCTTTGAGTAAGCAACTGTATACTCCGCCACATATACTGTTTGGCCACCGGTGAGTCTGAATTTCCTATGATGAATGAGGGCGGAGCTTGAGCTTTGCAGCTGGAGAGTCTTGGTATCCTCACGTCATCTCGCCGGCAAGTGTATGCCAAACAGCGGGCTCGATCCGGATGGCTGGACTTTGCTGGCAAGTGTGCATATGGCTGGTGTTTGTACCTTAACATTTGTCCTCCCGCCGGCGAATGCGCGTTGCTGCTGGCTGTTTGCTTCCAAGACAACTAAAGCCCTCTAGGAGTCAGCAGCTCATACACTCCGCTGCGTCGCTCGGACACATCACCAACTGCAGACTTCACGACTTCAGGATTCAAGCAGCATAGCACCTGAAATTGCGCTCCCCTATTCCTACCCCCCGACCCCAACCCCCCAGTGCGTCACCGTCTGTAATCCCGCAGCCACACAGAGGACACGTGGTAGCCCAGATTCCCGTCTTCCTCGTCTGCTGGAAAGTGGAGCTTGGCAAGCCAGTGAGCACTGGCACTCGCATCGCCTCTAATTGCCCTAATGCTCATGTATATTTAGTCGCTCTGTTAGCATTTGTTTTCAATTGCCTCTGCGGGTCGGCTGTGCGTCTGCGGGGGAATGAGCGCTGGGTCAAATAGGAATGCGTTTGGGTGAATGATTGAGCCCCGAAGCTCAGGACCATGACGCTGTAGAAAGAGCTCGCGCAGGTGACTCAGACCCCAAAAAAGTGACCGACTGCCCAGAAATTCAACACCAGTGTCATACCGGCTCAGTCCATGACAAACAACACCAACCTGCTGGAATAAATATTCCTCCACATGGGGGCCTCCCGGGTACTGATTTACTCAAAATAGAGGGTCAACGTTGCATACCCAATTTCCAGAGTGCGGTGGAGCGTAAGTGAAACATAAACACAATCGTCTCCCGGCCACGGTCTGCGCGGCTGAGGGTGGGGAGGGATTCCTGGCGTAGTCGGGCGCCCGCTTAAATTGTCATCCTTTGCCACAAGAATGTGAGCGCTCGTTTTTCTTCCCCTTACGCCTGTTGTGGCAGGTGCTGCCTCTCCACCTAAATCCGTTATCATTTGTAATCGGAAAAAGTCTGCAGGGGCTTCATCTCTCCGAAGGACGTGATGGAGCCTTAAAGACGTCTGGTATTGGTTTAAAAGTCCAGAAAGGGTTTTTTTTTCATTCCGTGGTCTCGTAAACTGCGCTAGATTGCAAGGAGGCAATGGTTTGTTTTTATTTAGTTCATGTGAGACACGTAGGAAAAAAAAAAATCCGCCCAAGCTGAAATCACCAATCACAAGAGAGCCACAGTATCCGGCATAAACAAAACACAGGTCTCTCATATTTGCTATTGGATTACCTTTATGCTTTGGAGTAGACTGACACTGCTTAACTCTACAAACGTATGTAAAACTGGTGTAAATCAAGTTAAATATGAGTATTGAGGCCAGAAGTTGATCAATGATACAATTTCCGGGGTTGGAGAGTACATTCAAGAAAACCCTGGGGCAGTGTGGTGAACTAATGGTTAGCTAGATGTTTTTTTTTTTCTCAATGTGCTTGCGTTGGTTATCTCCGGCTTGCTGCCACATTCCAAAAAAAAACCATGCATGTTAATTTCACTTTTACCAATTGTCCGTAGGTGTAAATTTGAGTCGAAATCTACTATGTGTCCCCTATAAGTGGCTGGTGATCATTCCAAGGTGCACCCTCAGTCAGCTGGGATAAGCTCCATGAGCTCAAATGCAACCCTAATGTGGACAAGTGCCACATGAAATGGATGAAGGAAAAACTGGTTTCAGTGGACCACATATTAAAACACCTCAAGGGGGAGCCAGGTAAAGCAACAGTAGGAAAAAACCTGGCCTCAAAGTATTGAAAATAGTTTTGTTGATATACGAGCTTGGCAAAATTACAATACACTCTCAGCCATACGAACTCTGGATCACTTACTTAAGTGGGCTATGGCAAGTACAGCGGTGTACCTGCTCGGTTAGTGTGAGTGCGTCGCAGTGACTCAAGTTTATCTTTTCTAGGTCCCAATCACAAAAAGCCCTCAAAAGTGTTCGCAAGCCCACAGTTAACAAATATTAGCGACCTTTTCAAGTGTCAATGCTCACAATGTTCCTCAGAGTACTGAGCAGTGTTTTGCAAAACATTTCAAATGATACTTACTCAAATTCATAGTTCCAATACAGATGAGTTGTGCTTGCATATAACGTGAACACTCAAAAGTGGATGCCTTCAGCTTGTGACTGTTGCCACTTAAAAATGGCGCTACGAGCTACTGCCATTTTTTTTTCGCAGGTAAAGCAGATACTATTTCTGGTATCTGGTCAAGAAGGGTTTCAAGCGTGTGAAGCAGATACCGTATGTCTGACTCAAACCACTGCTAGTTGCGGGGTAGCCAATTCATTATCACCATATCATCATTACATAAGCAGCCAATAATAAACGCCCATGTTAATGTTAGCTTAACGCTGGATGCGGCGGCATAATGCTCCACAGTCTTAACATTGTTGAAGCTGTTGTCTTTCTGCTTGATAGTTCTTGCCAACGAGACTGATTGATTTTGAGAAAGATAGCTTGATTTTATTTTGAATAGAGAGATATTTTTGTTATTCAGTATGAAATCTCCTCAATTTTCCTCAATTTTTGAAGTTTGTTAGCAACGTGTCTTGTTCTGACTGATGTGTTTAATGTGGCTTGGTTTATACCCTTTCCTGTAATTCTATTCTAAAAGTTAACATAAAATCAAGGTTAATTGGAGCCAACTAGAGTGCATTTAAAAACTGGTGGGGTTGACACCTAATTATTGCTTACAAGTTTGAAAAACATTTTGTCATCACTTGTTTTTACTTTTACTTTCCTTATC